ATGTCTTTTTTTTTTTTATATATTTTGATAAGAGTGATTTGATATGTCTTCGAACCAATTTTTCATACCACCAATACTAATTAATCACAAAATTACAATTACAAATAAAAACAATAGAAACGTGATTTCACTAACAAACAAATTGAATTTCTAATTACACCAAAACCAATCATTTCAATTTCTTTCTTTCACCCCCTTACGGCGAAGCCCCCCACAAAACCTCCGCAGAAATGGTGGCGGCCTCCGCGTCGGAAACGGAGGCCTCCCTCACTTTCACCAATATCTGCTGCTTAAACGCCCTCCTCTCCCGCTGCCTCAGCCCCTCCCCCACCTCTAACTGCACCGCGAACCTCGCCGCGCAGCTCGCAAACGGGTGGCTCTCCAAGAACCCCTTCTCCCTGCTCTCCCTCATCAAATCGCCGCCGTGCTCCGACCTCTGCAACTCCATAAGCTTCTCAATCAACGCCTCCTCTAGCATCGCATCAACGGCCTCCTTCCGCCCGAAGTACCCGATTTCGAGCACGCAGACCATCGCCATCACTCGCATTTCCAAATCTTCTGAATTCAGGAAGCTTATGATCTTGGGTATTTCTCCGTTGAACTCGATCTCATCGACGAGCGGCGATTTGATCAGCCTGACGAGCGCGCAGAGCACTCTGATCGCGTCCGGTGACGCCATTTTTATCAGAGAGCTAATCGTCGGCCGACCCATCAAAACTTGACCCACGAAAACATCTTTATTGAACTTGATGAGAGCTGCAATGGCGAAAGCAGAGCGTTCTCTGACTCGCTTCGATGACCGAGTCGATTCGCACAGAACTGACTCAAGCGAGGTGAAAACTTTGGACTTCAAGATCAAATCCTGCAACTCGCGGTTGAACCCCTGCGCGACTCTGTCCTCGAACTGAGTCAGTAGCTTGATCAAATCATCCTCGTCGCGAATTGGGTCTTCTTCCAGAGCTCGCGTCAAGCTTTCTAAGCTCTCGCGGTCGATCCACGCTTGAATTTCGGACTCAATCGACCCGGCGAGTTTGGAGAGGCAGTGAGTCGATGAGCGGCGGGTCAGGAAGGAGCGGATGCTGAGGTGGCCGCTGGACTGGCGGAGGGACTCTACGAGGGTTTTGAGGGTGGCGAGGTGTTTGGAGAGGGCGGAGAGTTGTGGGTCCCGGGAGAGGATGTTGTCGGACTCGGTCTCGAGCTCGAGGAGGGCGTTAATGGCGGAGGATGAGTTTGACTCGGGCGAATCGGGACTAGGGTGGGTCTGTAGCTCGTGGGAGGCTTGTTTTAGAGCTTCTAGGACCTTGAGGACTCGTGGGCCGTCTTCCTTTTGATGGAGCTTGACCTCCATGGCCATGGAGATCAGAAGCCGTCGTGATTTTCTGATGAAGAGGATTTGAGTTTTTTTTAAGAAGTGGGAGATTAAATAGAATAGAGAGAGAGAGAGATCCAATTTTGAAATGAAATTAAAATAAATAAAAAGGAATTTTCTTGTCACAACTCAACGACCAGTTTATCTCTAGCTATATGCATGGCATGCCAAAGCCAAACATTCTTTTTCAAGAGAGATTTTTTAGTGTAATCAGAACATGAGTACATACGTCAATTAAAGAGGTACGAGAAATTTATTAGTATACCGGAAAAACACGATTCAGTATATCAAATGTTCTAATAAAAATGGTTGAAAATTATGTTTTTTAAATGTCAAACCACTTATATTATGATATTTGATATATTCAGTTTAATGAAAAATCTCTCGAGGGGCACTCGAGAAAAATAACCTCTTCTTCTTATATAATAACATAGGATTACCACCTCATGCTTCGACCATATTAAAAATCTCTCATTTTTATCAACACTCACTTGGGCTCGAAAACTTATTAATTAATTGATAGAATAGTGGTTAGAAATGGATCTAGAGTTTTAAATCTGAAAGAGAGTTATGGTAGAAAGAACTATATTAAAATAATAATAAAAATAAAAGTGCGAAAATCATCAGGAGAGTTTTGCGAAAATCATTTCACAAGTTAGTGATTTACGATGTTGTGTATGCCAATTTTGAACGGCAGAGCTTTGGACTTGGAACTCAGAAGAAGGTCAACTAGTAAGACACTTATGGTGGGGAGATTTTTTAGGATGATTGGAACACGTAATGGTACTATACAAATAGTGAGATATATGTGTTAAAAACTTAATAACTTAAAAAATAGAGTTTCCCATCATTTATATAGAAATACGTGATGTATCATCCGTGTTCTGGTCTGAATGAAAAATTTCTCTTTACGATGAGGGTATAGGTGGAAAGATCATGGCTGTTGGACATTGGATGGCTAGAATTGTTTGGTCAACTTTGTCATAATTTTGGCATGAATAGGATGGGTAGCTAAAGCTAGCGCACATGGAAACTCTTCTGAACCGCGTAACTTGTTTTCCAAGTGTATATGATGATGAGACAGATATAAACTCGAATACAAACGGATACGCAAGTTGTTCCGATTAAGACTCTCCATGGTCAATAGAGCTAGATCTATTGACTTGGACGATTAAAACTAACTAAAGTTTTATAACAATTTATTGTTGACTCATTGTGTGACTTAAACGTGTTAGAAACTTAATTGGACTAAACTATCATTTAGTGAAGGACGAAATTTATTAACTTACGTCCCACTTATTTGATGAAACTGCTGTTAACTGACAAAAACCAACTCTCCATGATAGAGGGAAGTTGGTGAATGTTGATCTATATAAGGACTCCCTACTCATAAAGAAAAGTTATGCGTTATTGGGTTCTATCACCTTAAGAACATCAAATCTTTCAACGAGTATAAGATATCATTTTTCTTGTTTTGCAATGGCTGCCTCATGTATCATGTAACATCTGTTAGTAATCTAGGAAACCTGTTAATATTATATACTCCTAGTTTTCCAACAAGATGATCATTTTCTCGTAATCTCGTTGTAGAGAAGGGAAATGATAAGTAGAGGATACAACCCATAGTTTGAGTTGAGTTCTATGATTAATATTTTGAGGCTACCATACATTAGAAAGCCTCAGGCAATGATTTTTGAACACAAAGTTGCTCTTCTTAATTGTTTTTATTTTTTAAACTTTTATTGCTTTATGACTTGTTTGAAAGTTTTTCTAAAATTTAAAAGTGTTTTTAGAACCAATTCTTAGTACAAATACAAGTAAATCTTAAGAAGTGCTTTTAAAACTCAAAACAGTTTGATCAAAAACATTTTCAGTCATTTTAAAAATAATTCCAAACAAATTGAACAATATTTCTCGCACTTTGTAACTATGCATGGCATTATTAATTGTGGTAGCTTCTTGTTGTTACAAATAAATACACAATCACAAATTTTAATATCATCAACTATGAATATTATATATAAACACGGTAGTACTGACTCACATTAATTACGATCGATTAATGGCTCATTTGAGACGACACTTATGCTTATAAAATATTTTTTTTGTTTAAATGTGCATTTACGTAAACATGTTAATTTTTCTATTAAAATTTCAACTGCTTCCTTGAATGAATAATTTTACACAAAAATACTTTTTATGACTCAGAAATACATTTAATATTTTTCTACCAAACGCAGTAAGAAACGATCTAAATAGTTAGCATGAACTATCGATGGTTCCGGATTCATGGGGTTGAATCATTATTTTTTAATGTGTGGGTGTGGGTATTGTGTTTGGCTCACGCATGGCCACGAGTTTATGATCTTTTGGGATTTAAGAAAGAGATGTGAGCCATGAGTATATCATGTCTTTGCCCTCCTTGGGGTCATCTATGATGAGTTCTTTGCCCCCCAACTACGATTGAGATTTGTTTTGGATCTCTTTGTTCAGAGTATGTAGATCAAGAGATTCGGACTACCTATTAGTCCATTTAACTGGCTCACTATTCAAAAACTTGAACGTCCCGTATCTCTTTTTCTCTCTTAAATGGTGAAGGTGTCTCGATATGCAGATGTCAGACACAAAAATTCGAAAGGATCTCATTTTCCCACTATTGCACCTATTTGAAAAAGGGCAAAAAAAAAGGGACATATGGGCCCGTTTGTGCTAACCAGATATCCAGGAGTAGCAGAGCCAAAAAAGGATGATCCAAACAAACAGAAAGCCCAAATAATAACTTATATGCCTTCTCGTCTTGCAATGTTTTAAGGTGATTGAAATCATTTACTTTTTACGTTACAATTTAAAAATCAACTCTTCAAAAAAAAAAAAAAATCGTCACTTAGTACTACGGTCTAGTAGTATTTCTTTTCATTTGTAAGTGAAGGTCTAAGATTCGATTCTCGCCAAATGTAAATTTACCAAATTATAATTAGCCCATTGTGAAGCTAAGCACACCAATTAGATAATATCTTTTATTCAAAAGAAAAAAAAACTCTAAAAAAAACAAATTACAATTATTAATTATTTGATTAATAATTTTAAATTCAATTGCTTTTGACAAGTTGATGTTTATAGGTGACTTAGGAGAAATTCATATACCATTTGAGTGTCGCATTCGGAACCGATCCACTACATAATTTGGATCATTCAAAAGAGAGGTACGTAAATCTAAACTTAATTTCTATGGGATAGACTAGCAAAATAAACCAATACAAGTCGTAAAATTTAAATTGAATAGTTCGGACTCAGACTGCGAAATCAAGAAAAAATCTGGATTTCCGTTTTCGATCGCATGTCCTTTGGATGGGCGAATCGAGTGATGATGGATGATGTTTCATAATCATTAATTTACCATATTACCATCAATAATTTACAAATAGACAAAAACGCACAACATCTTCTGACAGACACACGCCGGTAACGTGTGGGTTTCACAAAAAACCAGAACTGACCACTCCAAACTCGCCAGCTGCCGCGCACAAGAATTATATCGCTTGGTACGAGGCAACGGATGAGAAATGTTTCAGGGGACAAAATTACGGTCCGGTACATTAACTGTTATAATATAATTTGTTTGAAATTTCGAATACACTGGTGCGCTGGGTGTTATAATAATGAATTGTGTTTCTGACGCACCGAAAAATCTCTGGCAACGGATAGGGGAGATATAGCATCCTCTAACCTACGTGATGCCACGTCAGCTAATCGGATGCGACTAAAATACGCCTTCCCCTCCGACTACTATTTAGTTCATCACCCTCCTTCTCTCCCCTCAACCTCTTCAAGCTGTAAATTTCTGGTACTCTCTCTCTCTAACTTTGAAAGGTTCTTTTTTCCGTTCGATCTATTTAATTTGTCAGAATATTAGTGCTAATTAGTTAATAATTAATGAGTTTTTGGCTATTTAGTTATGTTCTTGTGCGTTAACGTGGATTGGAAATGTTTGTATTCAGCAGAATTTCAATTGGAATTTTAATGGGATTTGTTAAGTTTGATTAGTAATTGTAATGGTTTGCTCCAATCAGCTGTTCATATCTGTTTCTAACTCTAATATGTGATTGTTTGAATAAATTTTGATGCTTTGATCTTGTTGGAGTGATTTATGCTCGTTGTTGGACTGCAATTGCAAATTTTTTGAAGTCAAAGTCAAAGTGGTTTGTGAAAGTTTGAAAATTTGATATGGCCTCGACTGAGAGGAGGATCATTTTCTGCAGAAAGATGCGAAAAGAGCGAAAATGGTCTTCTATCCCTTTCGATTTTCATCAAATGTTTCGTTTTTAGCTGGTGTTCGTGTTAAGCCACATATGGCTGACTGCTTATTCTTCTTCTTTTGGTGCAGTTAGTTTTACTGTAATTTCGTGAATGAACAATGATGGCAGCGGTTACTAGGATGGAGTCCGCGTTGCTTGGAATTATTCTTACCTCTTTTGTCGCGTTGAGCTTCTTGATGAATGGGAATGCAGCGGGAATCACGAGTACTTTCATCCGATCTGAGTATCCATCGGTTGATATACCTCTGGACCATAAAGTATTTGCGGTGCCAAAGGGTTACAATGCTCCACAACAAGTGAGAATCCATAGCTATTTTGATATTGATGTAGAAAAATAGTAGTTTTTCATAATTCGGGATGTGGAAAGTTACGGTTCCTGATTTCTTCCAACAATTTTGATTAACTCAAAAGTGCAACTTTTAATACGAATAGGATGAAAATCCGCTATCAGTATTGATGTTTTGAGTTTGATGCTCGTATTCACTTCAAACATTCATTGCAGGTGCATATCACCCAGGGTGACTATGATGGAAAGGCTGTAATCATCTCATGGGTTACCGCTGACAAACCAGGGGATGGTAAAGTGCAGTATGGTACCTCAGAGAAAAAATACAAGTTTTCTGCTAAGGGGGTCATGACAAACTACACCTTCTACCAGTATAAGTCTGGCTACATCCATCACTGTCTTGTTGATGGCCTAGAGGTAACCATGATTACTTTGTGAAGTACACTAGTAGTAGCATATGTGGTGCGATTTTCACTCTCCGGGTTGCCTATCACGAAAAGCTTGTGAATTGGTGTGTCCAAGTTTCCCAAGTATGAGAACTTGTTCATTCTCTTGCTTATAGTTTCACTAAACCATCAATTATTTCTTTTCTTTTTTTCAGTATGACACAAAGTACTATTACAAAATTGGAAATGGTGATTCATCTCGAGAATTTTGGTTTACAACGCCTCCAAAGATCGATCCAAATTCTCATTACACATTTGGGATCATAGGTGAGTTGTTTTCTCTCTGCAAAGGGTCCGATAACAGTTAGTTTCTCTATGCCGTGACCACAGCCTGATATACTTGTATCCTGGGATTCTTATCACTCTCTGTATAAAATGATGTTGAATTTTGTAGTTTCTCCTAATAAATCATTATCTGTATGTTGCAGGTGATTTGGGTCAGACATTTAACTCTCTCTCAACTCTTGAGCACTATATGAAGAGTGCAGGACAGGCTGTTTTATTCGTCGGAGATCTTAGCTATGCTGATAGATATCAGTATAATGACGTAGGTTTACGGTGGGACACATGGGCTCGATTCGTCGAGCAAAGTACTGCATATCAGTCATGGATGTGGTCTGCTGGCAATCATGAAATTGATTACATGCCTTATATGGTAAAGTATCAAGCATATCTTGAGAGAACTGTCTGAGTTACTTTATGTCACTACAAGTCTTTTTTGATTATTCTGTGACCTTAGAACTGTATACATGATTTGTTGTGTTCCGAAACTCCTATCATGTTGACAGTGCAACCTAAAAATTGTTGCTTTTATCTAACTATTAGTTTTGTACATATTCTAGGGAGAAGTTACTCCGTTCAAGAACTATCTTCAGCGGTATGCTACTCCGTATTTGGCCTCTAGTAGTAGCAACCCTCTTTGGTATGCCATCAGACGCGCATCAGCTCACATAATCGTGTTGTCCAGTTACTCTCCATTTGGTAATTGCACATTCCTACGCTTGCAAATATGTGAACAGACTCTATGTTTTGCCGGTATACCTTACATCAATTATTAACTTTGCCACCAGTGAAGTACACGCCTCAATGGATGTGGCTAGCAGCAGAATTGCAAAGGGTTGATAGGAAAAAAACACCTTGGCTCATAGTCCTTATGCATGTTCCGATGTACAATAGTAATGAGGCTCATTACATGGAAGGTGAAAGCATGCGAGCAGTGTTTGAGAGTTGGTTCGTTCAATACAAAGTTGATGTGGTGTTTGCTGGCCACGTCCATGCTTATGAGAGATCGGTATGACTCTTCGCCTTTTATGTTTTTCTACCGTATCCTTTTATATGATATGTTGTTGTTGATGCGGCATTCAACATTGGAGTAGAATCTTATAATTCCATTCATCTTCGTGCACAAACTGTCTGTTACTCTAGCATGGACGTCGATAGAAGTTTGTAATACCTTAACGGACATTGCGCTTTATTCATACATATTGTGCCAGTTCATCTTACGTCAATTATAAATTTCATCGCTAGATTGAGATTCATGTTCTTCTTTTGCATTTAATTACAGTATCGTTTCTCCAATATACAATACAACGTAACAAGTGGTTACCAGTACCCCGTACCAGACAAATCAGCTCCTGTGTACATAACTGTTGGAGATGGAGGGAATCAAGAAGGACTTGCTGGACCGTAGGAACTTTAGTCGAGCTTTTTTATTGCGGTTTTCGTTTGATAAAAGGTCAGTCGAAATGCATGACTAACACATGTTCCATGGTTTCTGTAGGTTTAGAGATCCACAACCAGATTATTCTGCATTCCGAGAAGCAAGCTACGGGCATTCCACGCTTGAGCTGATAAACAGGACACACGCACTCTACCATTGGAACCGCAATGACGATGGGAAGAAAACCGCCATGGATGCATTCGTGTTACACAACCAATACTGGTGAGTACAGCCATACCATTCAGTTTCTTTCTGGTACCAAAGTAACGAGCGATTCACTTTATGGTAACGTAAACCAGTATACGCGTTTGATATGATTGAACTTTGGTAATGCAGGGGTGCGAATCACGGGAGGCGAAAACTGGAGAAGCATAATGTTAGGAAGATAATGATGGACGAAAGTGCTACGTATTGATAGAAACCGATCACGTCTGTCGGGTGTTTTGCTTCAGAAATCTCAATGGAGAATGCAGAGTTGCTTGGAAATTGAAACATTGGATTAGCTTGTATCGAGACCTCTTACGTAAAATAAGCAATATGATCCCTCTGTCTGCTGTTCATGGTATTGGATTTTTAGTTTTGTTTTACGACTATTTCGAATGTTCATTCGGATTACCAGTTTCGCCTATTGTTTTTATCCAACAATGTGAATCATCAAAACATTTTAACCTTCCTCTAGCCACCATCGTGTAATTCATACAACTGCTGGATCATCCCGTGATGGTCTGTCATACTTCAAGTTGGGGATGCTATTTATGTTTTTTTAATTATAAGCGATACTCTACCTTGAATAAAAATTTGAATACTAAGCTGAAGAAAAACCTTAATTACTAAGGGAATCTACTACTTACGCCACTCAACTTTATCGGTTGAATTTTTTCATTCAACTTTTTCATCTTTTTATTTTCTTTTAGATCTTGCAATATTGCAAGTGACTCTCTACGACAGTTATGGTGACTAATATTGATCTTCCAATATAACATGATTCGAATCCCGTCGACAGTAGTGGTGATTTGGGTCAGACGTTTAACTCTCTGTCAACTCTTGAGCACTATATGAATATCGCAGGACAAGCCGTTTTATACGTTGGAGATCTTTCCTATGCTGATAGATATGAGCATACTGACATAGGTTTACGGTGGGACACATGGGCTCGATTCGTTGAGCAAAGTACTGCATATCAGTCATGGATGTGGTCTACTGGCAATCATGACATTGATTACAGGCCTTCTATGGTAAAGTATCAAGCATATCTAACTGTCTGAGTTACTTTTGTCACTATTAGTCTTTTTTTATTATTCTGCCTTAGAACTCTATGCGATGAAAATATATCTGCAACATAAAAAAGTTGTAAAATATTAGTGATATCTAAATAAGTTTATATACATGATTTATTGTGTTCCGCAACTCCTATCACGTTAACAGTGCAACCTAAAAATTATTGTTTTATCTAACTATTAGTTTTATACATTTTCTAGGGAGAAATTACTCCGTTCAAGAACTATCTTCACCGGTATGCTACTCCTTATTTGGCCTCTAATAGTAGCAATCCTCTTTGGTATGCCATCAGACGTGCATCGGCTCATATAAGGAGATGCATTGTCTGCCCTCCCCACTTCATACCCTCCCCATACTCTCCTGTTTTGTGTGGTCACGGTTAAGCACCGTGACCGCACAAAACAAGAGGGCATGTGAAGGGTATCTGGTACCCCAATTATGTCATTCTAGCATCGAGGTCTAGTGAAGTTTGTAATACTTAACGGACATTTCTTGTTATTCATACATATTGTGCCATTTCATCGCCAGATTGTGGGTCACGTTTTTCTTCCCTTTTTATTTCAGTATCGTATCTCCAACATACAATACAACATAACGAGTGGTATCTGGTACCCCATACCAGACAAATCAGCCCCTGTATACGTAAATGTTGGAGATGGAGGGATCAATGAAGGACTGGCTGCGGGGGTAGGAACTCTAGTCTAGTTTCTTTATTACGATTTTGTTTCGTTAATAAGTAAAAAGATCGGTCGAAACAGGATAGCATAATTTAAGAGACATAATTTCATTTCGTTGATTTGATCACTAGCAGTTGGTAGGGAAATCGAGTTCCTTTTGTGCAGACAGTCTTGACTAACACATGTTCAATGGTTTCTGTAGGTATAGAGATCCACAACCAGATTATTCTGCATTCCGAGAAGCAAGCTATGGCCATTCCACGCTCGAGCTTATGAACAGGACACACGCACTCTACCACTGGAACCGCAATGATGAAGGGAAGAAAACTGCAGCGGACGCATTTGTATTGCACAACCAGTATTGGCAAGCATAGCCATACGGTCTTCATGTTTTCGGTGCCAAAACAGCAAGCAATCACTTTTCGGTAATCCAACTTAGTAAACGTGTTTGGTACTGAGTTTTGGTAATGCAGGGGTACGAATCACAGGTCTGAAGAAGCATAATGTTAGGAAGTTCATGGACGAAAATGCTATGTACTGATGAATAATCGATCACGTCGATCGGGCCCTTCGATGATTGGAACCATGTGAACTCTGAGTTAGCCTTTAAACTTCAACAGTGCCAAATTTCAAGTCGTTAAATTGTTCGATTAATCTAGCTGAAGTTTTAGCGTCGTGGGGAGAAACATGGCTTGTCTATTTGCTGACTACTTTTAAATGCCTACGAGAGTTCAGATTTAGTTAATTTTGGGCACATATGATCGTTGAAGAGGGGCTTAGAAAATAGACTGTTCAAATCATCGTGCAACATTACAGGTGAGAATGCAAGCTAAAGTGGTTGCCAGCTTTCGCATACATAAATAAAAAATAAAAAAAAATGCGAGCAAATAAGGCAACCAAGTCATCGGGCACCATTGAATCAAATGAGAAAATCCAGCATAAAATTAAGAGAACTTTAACGAAAAGCTCTCGGTACTGTTTACTTCAACGAAAAACCACATTTTAACACTAAAAAGTCAATCCTGGTACTATTCATTTTACTATTTAAAACTCAAAATTTTCAAGTCATTTTTATTAGTTTTCTTAAAATTAACTCGGTCAAAATACTGAAATGTCACCAAAGCTCGCAATGTGGCATCCGATCCTATTAACCATGCATTTTCCGCGACAGTCAGGCGGGCAGTGACATAAGAACCCCTCCATACGAACCACAACGCAGCTGGAAAAGATGGGAGTAGTAAACCGTAACCGAAGGCGAAGATGCAGAATCCCGCAACAAATACACAGTAACGCAGGTCCATATATAATCTGACAATCCAGGCAAAGAGGAACTGAGTAACCCCGTGCGTAGAATCTGATCGGTAATACGGTATACAACTTCACTACATTTATGACAGGTACTATGAAAAAACTAAATGTACACCATCTGAGTACCTTCCATGTTTGTGAATCAAGCATTTGTGAAGGTGTCTTTGGTGCTCTGTATACATCTCTGGGCGGATAGTACATCTTCGATCCACCGTTAGCCATGCAACAGTCGACAGAGATCAATTAAGAATCACGGTAAATTGGTTGGGCATTCCACTTAAGCTGCACGTTCAATTTCCCGGATTTGGCCCCATCTAGCGGTATCGAGTCTTGGTATTCCCCTTCTAAGATAACCCTAGTGAGGGTCATGATGCATCTGCCCATATAGTCCTGCACGATACGAGAAGGGCCTAGGTTAGGACACGTCAGAAAGTAAAGGTCAAAGCCACCATGAGACAGTTGAGAAACATTGCCATCACGTTCGAAAGTAAAAATCATATGAAGAACTGAAAAAACTAGCACCTTGCCGAAAGTGTCGTGGTCCCAGACTTCGAGCATGAGCATGTCATGCAATCCATCCTCGACAACAAAGTCAAAAGTTTGATTCCAAACAGGATTCAAGTTGTCGTTAACTACCTGAGAGGACAAATAATTTTAAAGATCAACAAAACTTAAAGGAGCAAGTGGCCCTTTACCATAATGGTGGAAAGGTGTTGAGCCCTTGCATGACGACGTGGGTTTAAACCCCTTTGGTGGCTAATCTAACATCTAATCTAACAAAATCTATCGTTTGACCCAAAAAAAAAAAAACAAACAAAACTTATAGGCTACAACTACACAAATGAACAAGGCAGCAAGCGTTATGACTGGCAATTAAAACTAGAGTCTTTTGGCATTCAGAATCTTACCCTAGTTTTGTTTTTTGATCCTGATTTCTTTAAGGTGAGTATTATGTAAGGATCAGCCTTCCCCATGAGATCAGCAGGTGGCAAGTCCTCAGCAGATATCATAGTAATAGTTAGTACACCTCTAATTATGACCTCCCTTTTCTTCTGTGCGGCTTCCTTTTCACTTTCAGTAGCATCTGTTCCGTTCATTCCACTGTTAAGCACCTTTTCCAAAGAGGTCATTGCAGAGTTGGAAGTAAAAGGATTAGCGAAGCCATTCTCCATGCCAAATGGACAATATAACAGCTCCAAATGCACCTAAAACAGAAAGAAAAACGTTTAAGAAAAAGTGAAAATTCGTCTCATAATATATCAGAAAGAAAATACAACTATAGCGGGTGGGAGCATATATTATGATCTAATTTCAAATTCCAGTAGCCATCCATCCACAGAGAGGTGTAAATTCCAATAGCCATTCATAGTATGATCCGTAAAGCATCTCAAAATTAATTGCTGTTATTAGTGACCCATAGGATGAAGATTAGTCTTCTAACCTGCCCGCGGTTTTTATTATCTCTTTGGACATCCAAGCTTTTAACCAGCTTCAACCAGACATCCTTCACTTTACCAGGCTGAAGCTCACTTAGTTGTACTTGAGCACATCCAATGAGCTCAGATGCTTGAAACCCCTCATCATCATACACTTTGACCACCAAATGTTGAGTCGATTCATCTTCAACAATAAATTCAAAGTGCTCATTCCAGATTGGATTCAAATCATTGTTCTGACGAGGAAGACAAAAATATAGAGTTTCTTCAAACCCAATTAAAAGAAAAACAAATAAGTAAATGCATGGATATATAAGAAGATCCGAATATTTACAATGGTTTTGCTTCTTTTCATTCTGTTGGGTAAAGGTCGTATGTATAGTCTTGCAAACGGATCTGATTTTCCCACCATGTCTTTATTTGTTAACTCCTTTGCCTGCACAAGTTTCACCTCTAGCATTCCGACTGGCTTTAACTCCAGATCACTAACCAAATGAAGTTAATAGTGTTAAAAAAAAATTAAAACCATTGAATAAATGATTTAACAAATATTGATAGGTGAGAAATGGACAATCCTGTGCATTCTCCTTTACCTGTAATCCCCTGGCAAAATGGGAAAAACTTTCCGAACAGGCCATGTAATTGAATCTTCAACGGCATCCCGTATTGTCCCCTGTATAAATATTATGCCTCTCAATTAAACCAAGTATGTATGATAAAACAAATGCTGCATATATTTAATAAGACCTCCTAACTCTTCTAGTGTTGGAAAGTACTGTTCATTTTAATGCAAAGCAAGTATGATAAAACTGATCCTGCATGTATGAAATAAGACCTACTAAGTCGTATATCGTTTAAAGACTATTATATGTATCTTGCAAAGTCATCCCTTCCAGCCGTTCAATTGGTTTGATTTAATTTACAAGCAAGGATGTATGAAACCTGATGTCTGCATGTGAGTTGCCAGATGACAAAATATAAATCATACATAAGTGCAAGAATCAATTAAGAAAGAAAAAACTGTGGAATTGCTCAAACCTCAATTGCATCAGATATCCCAGGTAATGCAGATATGTCGCCACCCACAACTTTAAGCTTAAAATCTAACTTTTTCTGCAAACAACAAAACACAGTTGCTAAATCGGAGTTGTTGATTGTGTCTCCGGCAATCTAACAGCATTCAGCTAGCTATTGATGACAGAATATCAATAATCCTACAAATAAAAAGGTCGTACCCAGTGCACAAGGCTCCCGCTTTACCGTATGCTATTTTATGCGAAATATGTAACCTCCATTCAAAATTCTTTTAAACATGGCTCTAGAAATAGAAGCTACCTTTTCTCTCAATGAGTAACAAACAGCTCCAAAGCACGGAAACTCGTCAACCAGAGGCTTGAAGATCAGCCTGAATACCCCCGTGAATCCAATATCTTTCACCTGAAAATCAACATATCAGTTATCAATCAAAGATAAAAGTATATATATTCTTATCATGAGCTTTAGAAGAAAAAAAACCTCTACTGCCGGAAGCAAGTAGGCATTAAGTTGCAGATTACCTGCACAGGTAGTGCTACGCCAACTAAAGTCTTGATAGCAAGTATTATACTCGGATTTCCATCCCACTGCATTTCCAACTCCATAGTGATACTGTCACCTCCACCTTCAACTATAGAAACGCCTAATGAAAAAAAAAAACCTCTCTCATTACAACCCCGACGTTAATGAATGCTTATTGCTTTGCAGAAGCTTCATTTAACGCTCCTGCTTTTAATGATATCGAAAACCATAACAAATTGGAAGATTTTGATCCGCTATCATCTATACTATACATAATCCTTAAAAACAGAACCAGAAACAACTGGCATGCTCACGGCCATAACGCGATTCAACTTAGAAACTACTTAGGAGTATGCCTAACTCTAAGTTCATGACTTACAGATATATTTAGGGATTACCTACATGATCAATCAAGTTGTGGTGAAAAATAAGGAAATGTGACATCTTTGTGAAAAATAAGGAAACCCCATTTTCCAAACAAGCACAAAGAATTAAAAGAGACAACCTTTTTTTCGATCGTTAAATAAATTGAACTGACCTGTAAACTGAGGTGCCACCGTACCAAGAGTGAACTTGGAAAATTTGAGTGAGGACAATATGATTGGTCTGTACTGCTCCAGAACTGGCTCCACGGATGTCTTTATCAGCTCGGACGCTGCCTGCACCACCATTTTTAGAAACCCACCTCAAAAAATCATCAAAATTTATCAAAGTTATAAAATTTTGGAAAAATACAGAAACCCCAGATGGATCTTTACCTCATTGACATAAGGCCACATCTTTTCGAGGTGAGAATTGAGCCATGCCAACTGAAAAATTCAAGGAAAATACATTAGTCGCCGGAGATTCTGATGGGAGAGAGAGAGTTGGGAGCTCAACTTCTGGCGGTGAGAGAAGACGACCCAGGATGGGTAAAACTCGGGAGGCAAGAGCTTTCTGGAGTCCTCGACGGTCATTCGAGCAAAAGCGGCCACAGTGGTGGCCAGCTCGGACCGGAGCTTGGACCGGTGGTTCTCGAACCGGACAAAGAGGAGAATGATTGCGAGTCCGACAAGTATTCCGAGAAATAATCCGAAAACGAAGGCCATTGGATTGGTCGAGATTTGGGGCTGCCGCTGCTCAGTCGGTTGGTAAGAGAAAGAGCGAGAGAGAGAGAGAGAGAGAGTGAGTGGGGTATCAAATCGTAAATGCAAATATAATTATATAATTAAGATTATGGAGTCTTAATTATGGTAATTAATCTCGATTTTCTTAATTTTTCTTCGGGGTAGTGAAGATATGGGCGGAGGAAGCGGTGGGTGGAGGGCGGGGGTTGGTTGTCTCCGACGCAGAGAGAGTGAAAGGAATGCTTTGCGTGCCGACAATAGGACAATTACAAAACAAAATAAATACATAATTTACAAATTGGGACACTTGTATGAGATCGGAGAAAAAATAGTTGACGTCTGACACGCGACCGTTAGCCTAATGGCAACTACGCGCCACCTATTTGTTCAGGACAGTGGGACATGAAAGTCAATCTCGTGACGTTGAGCGCAAAAGCGGATATTTATAAAAAAAACTAATGAAAATGGTTTGAAAATTTTGAATTTTAATGATAAGGACAAAATAAATGGTAAAGTGAATAGTAACATGTTTGATTTTTTAGTGTAAAAATTAATTTTTCGTTAAAGTGAACAGTACCGTAACTTTTCTTTAAAACTCCCTATTTATAATCAACTGAGTTATAAGTCTTTTGTTATATTTTATTTCATTTTATTTTGAAATGAAAATGCTATGATGAAATACAAAATCTTGAAATAGTTGGCCAAACTGCAAATTTTGAATTTTTTATTTTTTTGTATTTTACTTATTTTTTTAGATTGTAATATGGTACGTTGAATTGTTGATGGATTACCTATGTCGCATGCGCTAAGCTTTTTTTGCTTCTAGTATTCGGAGATGCACATGCCATGGATTTTAAAGCTACCATGTAGATAAGAATAGTGTTGCTCTTTTTGCGGTTTATGACATATTTTTCTCAAGCGTCTCAAGGTCTTTCCACGGCCTATCTGCACAAGTTATTGTGTCCCATTCCACATCACTAACTCATTGAGAATTCTATTCTTTTGGGAAAGAAAATTACTAAATGTAATAACAAAAAACTTGGTAAAAGACTTGCAAATCTGGTTTAAAAATTTAGCCTCATTATCATTATCATCAATCGTATAATCAATTTGTTAATTAAGAATTATGTAGTTTATTAAGAATTCTGTAGTCTATCAATTAAAAATAATATACAATAAATAAAATTTCAGATCTTTTCTATTAGTTATTATCGAGCTTTTTCATTATACGAAAAATGATAATCTAACTGAATTTTTACAGTAAAAACATAAGTTTCGAAGTCAAACATAAACGAACAAGCACATTGTCGCAACCAACCAGTCGACATGTTCCAATTTTTTTAGGTTGGATTTTTAAGGAAAAAGAATAATGGATACGGCACGTGCTGGGAGAATGGTAGGTGAGCAAAACGACGGCGTAGAGGATTACGTAGGACCATCTCTCTACGTATAACAACGATATACACCTCATCGATTCGCCACGGGTACCACCCCGGGGCCCACACGTAAGATGTTTCCACTACCTGCGCTCGCGCCTACGTTTTCAGCATGAGGACAACCACTCAACCACTCCACGTGTTATGCTGATATGTGTTCCTTGTCTCTATCTAGGGCCAAATGTTTTTAATTGGTTTTTATTTTGCAGGTCAATGTTTGCTAATTTCCTAATATTTGATTTTGTTTACAAATTATTCTCATAAAAATAATAATATAGTACTAAGATAATGGTTTACGTCATTTATAATCTTTTGCTTGCATGTTAATTTTTAGCTTATCATTCATCGTGGTCTCGTTACGCGTGGGACTGAGAATGATGTGTTTGAATGATACTTATTTTGTTTGTTTTCGTGCTTGTTGAAGTGATTTTTAAACATAATTAAAAGTGTTGTGAGGTTAAATACATTCCTCTCTATTTAGTATAAAAAAAAATATCGTTTGTTCAGTGTTGTGAATGCGAAAACAATAAAGAATTGTAATAACTAATTTTTTAATATTTGGAAAGGAAATCAAGCTTGATCCATGAATCACAAAAGAAATAGAATTTTATCACAATAAATGCACATGCTATTACAGTGTAAAACGAAAAAAAACAAGTGTACTACAACTCATAAACTCATCCAAATTAAAATATGAGTTCGATTTTCTCTCCTCCAAACTCTCTCTTCTCACTTTTCTCTTTATCTTTATTTTTCTGTAAAGAAGTCAACACAAGATGTTGACGTGATTTAGTGTGACCTTCAAATAGGAAAGGATCAAAAGGAAGAAGAATTTACAAAGTAGACAATCCTACTCTATTAGCAAAATGCGAGAACTTGATTCCTTTTCAATTCCTATTTCCAAGTATAGCAAATTTTTATAAAAAAATAAAATAAATAGTAAAAGTAAAGAATTAAGTGCAGTTTAATATTATTTTGTTCTTAGCAAAATGTTATTTAGGTTTTTTTTAGTCAAAATGGTTAATGAGATTAACGCAATTCTTCACATTGGTTTCTAATATTTGAAATCAATAGAATTGATTATTGAGTTTGTCCACTGTCAATCATTTTGGTTATTCCGTGCAAAATCTCTATTAAATAATGACCAAATGACAATATATCCTCAATTTAATAAACAACGCGTCATACTACCAAAAAAAATGAGATTCTTGCTGAATCCGAGTTTGTTGCTCCAACCATTACCAAACTAATACATATTCCGTTTAGTACTTCAGGTGCTTATGTTGAGTATAATGTAAATCTCATAGTGGATCAATTCCAACGAGCCTTTCTTTCGGCATCAATGGGAAAATAAAACGAAGCACCTAACAATGTATCTTCATAGACTAAGAAATACGAGATTTCCTTTTTCATTTTGGGGTGATGGAGGAATCGTACCATTCGAGCCTTTTTTTTTCATGTTTTTCCTGGAGGTCTAGAGAAAGCAACAATCAATAGGATTTTCCCAATCCTCAATTTCCGAAAGGAAGAATGTGAAATTCTTTTTCCTTTCTGCAGAAACCAGGAGATTTCAAATAGGTTATACCATATCGACCGTCCAATCAACAAAGATCTGATGAATGACCACTTTTTGAGCCTACAAAAGGAAATTCCATTAGAACATATAACAGAGGAGTGAATGAGGGAATACGAGACCATAAGAAGGAATTCATAGAACTTCATATTCTAGTACCAAAGGATGAGGTATGTGGATAATAAAAATAATACAAAAATAATGTAAAAAGAATAATTAGTCATATGGATATGTAAAAATACAGGATTTTCCAATCCTAGCAGGAAAATGAGGGAAACAAATACTCACTTTAAAGTGGGTAAACATAATTTCATACTCGATCTCATAGATAAATATAGAATTCTGTCGGATACAGTTTTCTTTCGATTTCTCCCTTGTAACCGTTACCCGCAAGTGTGTCTGCACTCCCAAACTGACTTGACGAGGGATCCATTCTCATGAACAAACACAACCCCTACACACACCTAGTAGCACAACAAACACAATCCCTACACACACCTAGTAGCACCCCTTCCTGCATATCCATACAAGACACGAGTAGGCAGGTCAAGGTCCTACGAGGTACCCACTACTCGGAGTACCCTCCCAAAATGAAAAAAATGTGTCTGTCAAGTTCAATTCTTTTTAGATGGGTTGGTCAAGTTTGACTAGAAATATTATGCTTACACATAAGACAATCCCTCTTTTCGAAAGCTTCGCAGGGACTATTTTACGACGACAGACGATCGCATGTAGGGGTTTAAACGTTGACACAATTTGAGGGTATTTTTGTAATTTTTTCTTTATTTAACAAAGATTCTTAATAGAATAACTAAAATGAATGATAATGGACAAACTATGAATCAATCTCACAAACTATTTTGACTAAAAAACTTATTATATATATTTTTAGAAATATATTACAGAAAAAATAAATTAAATAATAGAACTATGCAAGCGGGAGCAGCGTATCATCGGCCAACAGTGGTGGAGTCCCGAATCCAGCCAATTCTGCAGATAAGAAATGACAGAGACAGATTGAGAGAGAGAGAGAGTCCCCCAAACACAATCATATACAAAAGCAAACACCCACTTTACTTTTAACACTTTAATCGAGTTCCGTGTCCCGACGCTCCGCCGTCCGCCGCCGCCACCCGCAAAACACAGAACCATGTTCGTCGGCAGCCTCAATACGGCGGAGGACCCCGAATCCATCACCGCCCCGTTAATCTCGCGCCAGCGATCCGCCCCGAACTCCACGTCGCAGGTGGCTCTGGTGGGCGCCAATGTCTGCCCGATCGAGAGCCTCGATTACGAGATTCTCGAGAACGAGTTCTTCAAGCAGGACTGGCGGAGCCGCGGGAAGGTCCACGCGTTCCAGTACCTATTCATGAAGTGGGTCTCGTGTTTCCTCATCGGCATCGTTGTTGGACTCATCGGATTTTGCAACAACCTCGCTGTCGAAAACATCGCCGGAATTAAGTTCGTTGTCACTTCCAACATGATGTTGCAGCGCAGGTTGCTCTGACTTTCACTTCAAGTTTGAATCTTGGTTGTTTTTTCTTTGGATTTTTGTCTTCAATTTTGTTTTGTTTTTTTTTTTTTTGGTTGTTGTTGGGGATTTACAGGTTTTGGCTGGCTTTTGCTGTCTTCTTCTTGTCGAATTTTGGTCTCACTCTGTTTGCGGTTGTGATCACGGCTTTGGTGGCGCCGGCGGCCGCGGGCTCCGGTATACCGGAGGTGAAGGCTTACCTGAACGGCGTCGATGCGCCCAGAATATTTTCCATTAAGACTTTGTTTGTTAAGGTGACTTACTAACTCTGAGATTGTGTTTGTAAGTGCTTTTGTTGTGTAAGTGAATTGCTTGTTAGCAAAGCTGCTTTTGCCAATTCCAAGTTTGAATTGGGTTTTGCTTAATTTGTGTGAAAGTTAGCAACTTGATAGTTTATGAATTCAACCATGTAATCTGAACTTACACATTGAGATAATTATGAATTCTGCATATGAAATTTAGGAATTGAACCGAAATTCGATTTGCTAAATTTCAGATTTTTCTTTTGTTTCAGATTGTTGGTAGTGTTACTGCAGTGTCATCGTCTCTTCTTATCGGAAAGGCAGGGCCCATGGTGCATACCGGTGCATGTGTTGCATCATTGGTGGGTCAGGGAGGATCGAAGAAGTATGGCTTGACATGGAAATGGCTGCGATACTTCAAGAATGATCGTGACCGTAGGGATCTCGTAACGTGTGGAGCAGCTGCTGGAATTGCT